AGGTGAAATACATGCCATGGAAGAGCCTGGGTTGGTGTCTTAAGTGGTGAAGACCTTTAAGGAGGGAGGATTGTTAGGTTAGGCAGGGACGATCGCCGGTGGCCAGATATCTCGGATGGTAGAACACCAGACTAGTGATTCAGGGGGCACAGGATGCTCATGTATATCATTGAAGATTATATCAAAACAGATAACATCATATTCCTGGCATGGTAAATAAATTTGAGTTCAAGTTTTCTCTTTATGCGAGGAACATGCTGAGATGATTGGAGTTCCGTTGTAGAAACCTTTTTTTAAAAAAAAAAAAAAAAAACTAGATATGTTCTACAAAACATGGTTTCCAGAAATTGATACGCCGTGTATGCCAAGTTGACTAAGCGGACTTGCACCACAGCGTCTCACAAATAGATTCTGGGCACTAGTGGGGAGGTCCGGGTATTTTTTTTTTTTTGCCTTTGCACTATAAGATTATAAATAATTTTCTTTTCATTTATACTTTAAAATAGATATGTATGCTTGTACATATATGTGGATTTGATCGACAGAAAACGCACCTCCGTAAAACAGATATTTATCAATACTAGTATTTAAATTATTATATCTTTATACAGATATGTTCAATGACATGAGTTTAATGTCCTATTGATTTACCAGGTACGTTTCTTGATTGTAGCGGTTCATTTTAAGTAATATGGTGCAAAGTTTTGTATTTTTTTTTCTTTGACAGTAAGACTGAAATGTTTCAATATTTCTCCAGAGCCAAATTTATAATATTTTCAACAAAACATATATTTTATTAGAAACCATCAACAGAATGTCTCGTGATTTTTCATAAGTTTATAAGATAGTACAGAAGAATCTCAGCTTGTTTTGTATTTTGAAAGATGATATCAAATAATTTCTTGAATGTTATTTACAATATCAATCTATTTAAGATTAGATGTTCCGAATCCGCTACCGTTTGAGAAGCGGTAGCGGATTCGGAACATCTAATTTTAATTAGATTGTGTACAATATTTGTTGATTTAGTTGAAAAAGTCGTCTAAAGACTACACCCTGAATAGCTTGTCAATATCTCAGATTCGGTGTTTTGAGTTTTCTTGCTTTAGATATGAACAGAGTATTACTTGCATAGCTTTACTGGAATTCACTGAGATATTTATAAATCAAATCACCAATAGTCCGCTTATTATCAATAGTATTTCCTGAGAGCACATTGAAATTATAGCTCTAATGAGGGGGTACAATAATCGATTACTTATTTTCTTGGGTAGCTTTCCTCTAAATAACGTATAGCTAAATTGCCCCATTGTGTTTGGCTTCCACAATAGTAACATTCTATATACATGGTTATGTCTTACGCCTACTTAATGTCATTGGACTCTCATTTAGATGTATTATATATTTATCTTTAGTCAGAAAAAAATCAAATTCAATATTTTACATCATTGATTAAGAGACAGACAAAAATAAAAAAAACGCATTTGACGGAATACATAAATGTCTAAAGGGTTTGTAATTAGTCTAAGACCGTTGATTGCTGATAAAATGACACAAAATTGCATACAATCTATCATTAAGTCATATGCTGACTCACTTCTTTCATACTAATTGTTAAGCCATTATTTACACACTGAATTGTCGACGAAATTTTCCGTTATTTACGATCATGACAAGGATCACACGGCGGGTGTGACCGGTCGGCAGGGGATGCTCACTCCTCCATGGCACCTGATCCCACTTCTGATGGCTTGGATGTCCGTGTTTGCTCTGCTTCTGATTTGTATTGTTTAAATGGACTTTGAGCTTGAATACTGTTCGTTATCTCCATATTTCATGTACCTAATGCAAACGTTTATTTTTAAAACTTATATATAAAAAGCTTTCTGTTTTGATGCTGTTTGTAAAAATTAAATCTCTTTATTTACTAGCATATGGACAGATTATATATTTTTGGATTGTAAAACGATATTGAAATAATAAAAAAATTCTATATAGCACAATTTGAAATCACATTATGAGGGTTAACAGGAAATTCCGAATTTTTTGTATTTCAGATTATTTCTTATTCTGTCTGATACATGTATTTAATATGAAGAATAGGGTTTTTAATTCTTTTAAAGGATGCTTTTTTCTCTCTTTATCAACTGCGTTTCATCTTTTCATCATTCCCGCGCATTTGTGTGTGTGTTCATAACAATTCAATTAGTGTATTGAACCATTTAAGGGTCCTAAAGGGGCAAAAAGAAAGTACATTGTAAATACTTTGTACATTGTAATACAGTTTACATATATCCAAGGGAGAAAAAGTTTCATGTTGTAAAGAAAAAACAGACATAAAATGGGGGAATAAACCAGATAGTATTATGATATTCATATACGTAAGTTCTGAACAAAAGTATTTGTTTATATGTACACTATCTATATACATACATACTTATATCGCACACATATGAAAGACCACACTTTAATATAATTCATAACATGTATGAAACACATAGGAAGATTCTGATTGTCTGCCCGTTTTTTTCAAATGGCGTCATAATTATATAAATATTATGAATTCTGTGGAAGATTACGCCAGGCGATGGGCCAAACACGAAAAAGAAGACCTTGACACTTTGTCAGAACGGATAAAGAGCATCAGATGGATGTTAAAATCTCGCATTAAGCGATTGAGGGGCTGTATGAACACTATTTATCCTTCTCTCTTTAATAATTCAGGAGTGAAAAAGGAATTATATAGAATACACGATCAGTATGTACCGGTCCCAGCTGACAAAGCTGGTAACAACATAGTCTTTGTTTGTAAGGCTCATTATTTGAATTGTATTTTAGAGGAACTGGGATTTAATTCTGCAAGTGGAAATCCAACTTACACCCATAGCTTCCTTCTTTTCATTGTTTTAGATATTTTTATAACAATCAAAATGAATTTGAATTACTATACCTTTACTGGATTTCTAAACTTCATAAAAATCCTTACACACGAAGATTCCTAGCGGGTTCCAGTAAATGTTCTACTAAGCTTCTTTCTTTACTCCTAACTAAAATATTTACTGTAATGAAGGAGAAACTTCAGGAGTACTTTACAAAAGTATATTGGAGAAGTGGTGTAAATCAGATCTGGATACTTAAAAACTCCAAAGAACTTTCAGAAAATTTGAAATCTCAAAATTTTACTAAATTTAATAACATCAAAACGTACGACTTTTCAACACTTTATACAACCATTCCCCATTGAAGTCCAGGCTTTTTGACATCAGAGACAGCTGCTTTTTCAATAGAAATGGAACTCATAAATATACTTACCTTGTCATTGCTCATTTGCAAAATTATTTTGTTAAAAAGCATTCTGATTGTACACACAAGTACTCTGAGGTTGGCATTAAAAAGATGCTTGAGTTTCTGATTGATAATATCTATGTAGTTTTTGAAGATCTGGTCTTCCAACAATCTGTTGGAATTCCCATGGCTACCAATTGCGCCCCTTTTTAGCAGACCTATTTTTGCATTCATACAAACCAGAATTTATTCAAAAACTTCTACTTGAGAAGAAGAAAACACTTGCTGGGCCTACAACTCAACATTTCTTTATATCGTATTATCAATTACCAATAGTTACTTTCATTCATATGTCGTCTCAATATATCCCAGTAAATTTGAAATAAAAGATACCTCAGATTCTAACACATCTGTTTCATATTTAGATATTTTACTTGAAAAAGACATTAATGGTAACCTAAGAACAAAGCTTAATGACAAACTGTTGATTTCAGCTTTTCAATCGTCAACCTCCCTTACTTATGTAGAAATATACCCTTATCACCTGCATATTGATTTTATGTCTCTCAGTTGATTCGATATGCAAGAGCATGCTATACGTATGACCAATTTCTAAAACGAGGCAAACTATTGACAAACAAGTTGATGAAACAAAGAAATCAACAGTTTCGTTTGAAGTCATCTTTTTGCAAGTTTTACGGTCGATACAATGACCTTGTCAGTACATACAACCTATCACTAAGTCAAATGCTGATTGATGTTTTTCGTACCAATTGTTAGGCCATTACTAATACACTGAACTGTCTAAGGATTTTTCCGGTTTTTTTTTTATCATGACAAAGAGCACACGGCGGGTGTGACCCGTCGGCAGGGGATGCTCACTCCTTCATGGCACCTGATCCCACCTCTAAATTTTTTGGTCCGTGTTTTTCTCTGCTCCAAATTTGTATCGTTTCATTGGACTTTCGAGATTGAATACTGTTCGTTATCTTCTTATTGCATCTGCTTATACCAACGACGATTCTAATTGGCTGCTTTTTTCTAAGTTCTATACTCAAGTTCATGCCTATGATGATATATTAAAATTCAGAAACAGAGTATGTTTGTAAACATCAACGATAATATTTTTTTGATCTTTTAACTTTTCTTTTGTATATTTTAATTTGATGGATTTCCTTTTTTCTATTTTCAAGAGTGTCTAGGCGAGCCTCATGCCTCTTGAAAATAAAAATAAAGAAATAAGAAAAGATATGTTTAGAAAAACTACTAAAGAGCAGTGATTATGGAATCTTTGTAAAACACCCCCTCTGACATCTGGACCAACAAATAAACAAGTCAAAAAGGCTTTTTGTATAGCTTTCTGTGGCTAGATCTTTAAAAAATATTCACCATGTCCTCCTCATTTTACAACTCAATTTCCTTTCTTAGACCCTTGAAAAGGAACATTATATTCTATGTGTGAAATAATACAAATATGAGATTATGTTAGCATTTAATTTCTTTAAAATGTATATGAATTAATTTTTAGGCTTACAGATGATTTTTTTTTACACAAAACAGCCTTAAGATTTTTTTTTTTGCTTACAAGTACATGTACCTGGTATTACATTCATTACGGGACATACACATGATACACAAGATCTCATAAATGTTGATCAGTATCCTCTTGTGATGTTTACCCGTTGACGTTCGATATATACTTGCTCGCATGGCTTTCACTGCATATAACTGATAATATCAACTTTTCTGTTTTCGTACTGAGCAACAAGAACCAAGTCATTTTCATCAGTACACAGTCCCCATGGAAAACTTAGGCCACATTCTATGTAATGGAGGAATTGTCCATTCTGGTCGATTATGTGAACACAATGATTTTCGATATCTGCTATAAGGATGTGACTCTGACTGTCCGTGGTGATTCCTCGTGGATCAAATGGTTTTGTCTTTAAAGCAGGTGTAAGTCCAGTGTATCTGAATTTTAGTTCTCCGGCCTGATTGACCACCACTACTGCTCCAGCTCCATGGTCTGATACGCAGATATCCAGGTTCCTGTTCTCAGTAATATATCTGTAAAAGTCTCCAGAGGAAAAAAGAGGAATACCCTTATAAGCAAAAATAGTTTGTTTCTCTTTGAAACCAACGTAACGGACAACTTTTGATTGTTTGTAGTCATTGCTGATCATTATTACAAGGAAATGACCCAAGGAAGAACTGCAGACACCGTGAGGTATCCAGTTTTCTAGTCTGATTACAAGGAACTTTTCTTCATCCTTCAGAATATTCACAGATCTTTCATGATAATCAGTATAAACCAAATGTCCAGTACTGATAATTGCTATGCTTTCTGGACGATGTCCGGACAATGTTCTGAATGACTGAAAAGGTGTTTTCTGATCAGAATGAAATAATTTTATATAGCAGTCATCTCCGCTTGTCCAGATTTGTCTTCCACTATAGCCTACTACGTTGTAAAGCTTAGAGGCATATTGTGTGTCTAGAGTGGCGATAACTCCAGGTTTTGGAAGAATCTGTTTGATATTTGTTGGTGTTTTATTCGTATCAAATGTTAGCGATCCAAACCACATAGAAACGAGCTCTTCTGGAACTCGAAGCGGGGAAAAGGTTGGTAAAAATATAGCCATTTGCGGAATTTTCTTCATTTCAAAGTCTGCTTGAAACTTTAGGGATTTAGAAATATTGTTTGACCCAAGGATGTCATTTATTGATCCATATTTTGTTGCACTTTTTGTAAATTCTGTTTTATTATGGCTTTGCATTTTTTCAATTCATCTTTGTATTTGTTTTCAACTTTGGTTATTTGAGATGTCAGGATATTGAAATGCCTTTCAATGGCTTTCTGCCACTCCATTTTTTGGTTAGAAATTTCTGTTTTGAGTTTCTTGTAATCCGCCTCAAATTCAGACTCTTGTTTTTCTATGTCGAATAAATGTTTTTCAATTTTTTCAGAAAAATCTTTCTTAAGTTTTTGCAAGTCTGATTTAAATCGTATTTGCTTTTCCTTAAAAATATCAAAAATATTTAAAAATATATGTTTATCATGTTGTTCTGAGACAACACACTCTGTACAAACTGGAACGTTGCATTTCTTGCAGTGAAGTTCACAAGTTCTCTTTTGGTGGGAAGGACAACGAGGGAAAATGGTAGCTTCACTTCGTAAATAAAACCCAACGAACGTGTGACACTTGGTTACATCTGATAGGACATGTGTCCCAATGCATGTTCTACAGAGGGGAACATTGCATAATGCACAGAGAACCTTTACCTCAAAAGAACTACAATTTTCACATTGCATAATTTCTTGGGCACTAGTACGTGGATCCATGGCTTTTTGCAAAATCTGAAACAGGAAAATTCTTTGAATATTTCATCTAATGCCAGTAGAACAACTCATATATACATGTGTAATGTTAAGGCTTCATAAAGATAATCAAAAGTCCAATAAAGATGAACAAAGTTATATCATTATTTAAAACAGGAAATATTTCTCATAAGCTTATAGGTATAGTTGTTTTTAAAAAATACCAAAATCTTCACTTATTGAAGTGTAATTAGTGAGTAAACTTTTAAACATATCTTAAAAATCATTCTGATTGTACAAACAAGTACTCTGATGTTGATACTAGAAAGATGTTTGAGTTTCTGATTGACAATATCTATAGGGTTTTTGGAGCCAGATCTTCCAACAATCAGTTGGAATACCCATGGGTACCAATTGCGCCACGTAATTAGCAGACTCATTTTTGAATTCATACGAAGTAGAATTTATTCAAAATCATATATATAAGAAGAAGAAAACAAAGACAACCCTATCCCTAACCCTGACCCTGTCGTCAAGATATATCCCAAGTGAGCTTAAAATAAAAGATACCACAGAGTCTGACCATCTTTTTCATATTTGGATATTTTACTAGGGAAAGACGTTAACGGTAACATAACAACAAAGCTTTATGATAAGCATGATGACTTTAAGTTTTCAATCGTATTCCCTTACTTATGCCGCAATATACACATGTACTTTTATCACCTGCATACGGGGTTTTTATCTCTCAGTTGATTCGATAAGCAAAAGCATGCTCTATGTACGATCAATTTCTAAAATGAGGTAAGTTATTGACAAACAAGTTGATGAAACAAGAATACCAACAGTTTCGTTTAAAGTTATCATTTCTTAAGTTCTATGGTCGATACAATGACTTTGTCTGCAAATACAATTTATCATCAAGTCAAACGCTGACTGATGTTTTTCATACTAATTTTTAGGCCATTATTTACACACTGAATTGTCTACAGATTTTTTCTGCTATTTCCCGATCATAACAAGGAGCACGCGACGGGTATGACCGGTCGGCAGGGGATGCTTACTCCTCCATGGCACCTGATCCCACCTCTGATGTTTTTGAGGTCCATATTTGCTCTGCTCCTGATTGGACTTGAATACTGTTTGTTATCTGCATATATTTCATCTTGCAATTCTTTAAGAAATACAACATAAATTTTTAGTTTCCATAATGTAGCACATGTATATGCCGATGCATTTTCGTATTCTATTTAATTGGCTTCCGAAGATATTAAGAGCAGTGTCTTTATTTCAAGTTCGGATAGACACATGTATAAGTCATATTAAAAAAATTATATTTACTTTACAAAAAACTATTCAGCACATCTACAGTTGCATGGAATCAGGCAATTAGATCATAGTTTGTCAAATTCGAACATTAGTGATAAGATGCTTTTGACTGGTTGTCTCCTAAGAGGCTTATTATAGATGAAAGGCTACGATAAAAAATGCAGGAAATCTTTACAATCAAACGTTTGCATAATTCCTTCACATTTAACAGAAATCGACATGTTGCATACTGAATTTGAGGCATGCTATTTTCAAAATGGTTGACTACGAGTTTTAAATAGTATGAAGCATAAATGTTTTACACAGTTTTTGTTTATCTGCTAAAGGCAGTGATAAACTCAGAAGCCGTTAGACTTTTAAAATGCTTTTTAAATAGATACAGAACTAACGGATTTTCTTATATCTTTTAAAGTCAGTCATTTATCGGGTTCCATGAATTAGCTCCCGATCTGTATTTTCTAAGTGGACTTTCAGATTAAATTTGGTTGCAATCTCCATATTTCATGCATATAATTCACACACAAAACATAAATAAATACAAAAAATAAATTTTGAAATTATATAAAAAGAACAAACAAACCAACCCCTCAAAATGCAAACCAAACATAAATAGTTTTTAATTTATTTTTTTTTTTAAAAATAAATAATATCTATTTAGTAATGTTTTAAATAGTTTGCTCAGGTCCTTTTGTTTTACCTGTTTTGTACAGGTGAATCTCTAATGTACATTGTACAGTGACATAAATGTTTGTTTTCTGATGTTCATATGACGATATTATCTGTTATCTGTTTCATTTTTTATCTATATTTATCAGAGTCCGGAGGATTTAATTGGTTTATACATAGGAGTATAAAAGACGATGAGGTTATTTGGACCACTTGAATCCTCAATAAGCTAACAAACCGTTATCATGCTCAAATTGAGAGCAGTGCAAAAACGAGGTCGCAGTATCGAACGTAGTATTTGCAAAATGGTGACGTCAAACAAATTAACGTAATCGATACAGAAATAAAAAAAAATACCGCTAAATAGGCTTACCAAATTTATTAATGATCGAAGAATACAATTCTTTAGCAGCGTCTAGATCTCTTAGTGTTTTGTGACTTTTTTCTTTAAATGTATTTAAGTTGAACTTTTATCAGATTTTAGTAATGAATAATGCAAATAAATCTTGGAGTTTTTAGTTTGAGTAATTTTCAGAATTACTGTAATGGGATGCTGCAGCAATGAATAAAAATTGAAAATATGGAAATTCAGTCCAATATGATGTACACCTCAGAAGTTGTGGACGGACGTTCCCACCTTGCCCCGGTTGACTTCATGACTGAGTCAACGACAAGAAGAAAGAGGAAAGGCGATAGTATGCAACCTTGCAGTGCTCCAGTCTTCTTCTTAAAATTATCTGTCAGCCGTCATTGTGGATTTTTTTTATATGCCATGTCTTTGTTTGTGTTAGAGAAATCAGCTTCTTGGGCACTCCGTTTTGTTTGTTTGTTTGTATGTTGTTTAACATCCCTCTTGAGAATTTTTCACTCATATGGAGACGCCACCACTTGCCGGTGGAGAGCTGCAAATTTTGTCCTATACTCGGTACTTACGGCCATTGAGCAGTGAGGGATCTTTTTCGTGCCAACACCTTCTGCGACACGGCCGGGACATCGGTTTATACGGTCTCATCCGAAGGACCGGTCTCCATGTCCCAAAGTGGGATTCGAACCCGCGACGTAAGGATCTACTCCTTACTCCGCGACTCTAGTGCAGACGCTCTAACCACTGCGCCACGCGGGCGACGGGCACTCCGTACTGTGCCAGCAGTTACCATAGTGTCTCACTGACTTTTCGTAGACTACAAAACTAAAGAGGAAAACCTGCCTCTAGGTCCTGTAATTGGACATAACTGCTTTTTCTTAGTCTACGAAATGGTTCTGTTCATGACTTTACTTGGTCCCCAGTAGGTGTTACATTACCCTAGGAAGGATCTATTAAATTCAGTGGATACTTCGAAATAATCTCGACTTTACTGACAACCTCTGGTGTTTTCCCCAAAACCGAAACCAAGTGGAAGACAAGACGTCCCTCTTCCCAATGAAATCTGCTAGGCCAGGGCTCAAGATCAACAAGAAGAAAACAAAAATGACGAAGATTCACGTCACTGACAGTACCTCAGTAACAGTAGCTAGATTGCCAGTAAAAACATAAAGTCGTTTGTTTAACTTGGAAATCTGATTGATGGAGGGGGGTGCTAAATTTGGTCAATGGGAAATGACTTTGAAAGAAAAGGTGGAGAAAATTTTTATCAATTCATTGGAGAGTTATCAACGAAGTTTCAATTTTTGGATTGCACTTTTACGATTTGGAAATGTTTTTGACGCCAGAATATTTTAAAACTTTATTTTAGTCTTTCACAGTTTACGTATTAACAGGGCAATCTCAGTGTATCTCTAACTGCTATTTTGACGTATAGTTCCATGGCTTCATATTGTCAAATTGTTTTGCAACTCTTCCTTATGTCTGTTTTCAAGTTATTCCAATATGTTTTAGCATCTAACATTTGTTATAACTGAATAGCTTACATGTCTTGATAATCTGGGAATAAAGTATTTTCCACTCTTATAAAAAATCTTCTTGCTTAGCCTTGAAAATGTCTATACAGTGAATAATTTTTTAAATCGGTGTGTCTTGTGTTTAGATGCAATACATTCAGTACAAACAGCGACGAAACAATCCTTGCAGAGAAGTTCACTTAACTTTTCTTTATGGACAAAGCACTTTTGGAACTTTTTAGTGGTCTTTCTCTGATCGACTCCTACAACTGTGTGTGGCTTAATCAGTTCTGATGTGACATGGGTCCTTATACATGATTTACAGAGATTGACTTGACAAATGTCACAGTACAGCTGTACTCTGGCAGTTTTACATAGGTCACATGACGTCATATGTCCAGAACCTTCCAGGGAGTCCAGAGCTGGTATTGGAATTTCCATCTGGGGGAA